AGTCACATTAATGATTTTGACATTATATAGGCATCTGTTGAAGATCATATCAAGATCTCTTCCTATTGTTTTTGTTTTGTTATGATGTGTCTCATTGGCATATACTCCACATCTCTTTTTAAACATATACATTCAAGCTGTTATTTCAATTTTGAAACTTAAATAATCGTAGCAAGCATGCTCATGTACCCCCATGCCCCCACATTGTCACCGGACAAACAAAATATCACTAGAATCCTAAGTTCAAAGACTCATAACTCCTACAAAAGATAAGTTCTTGTAGATATACACATCTACATATTACGTCCTATTTAACTACAAAACTCATAACTCCTACAAAAGATAAGTTCTTGTAGATATACACATCTAAATTCTGTTATGTGGATTCAGATGAGTTGCTACAACTAACTGTTGCAGTTGTATATTTAGACCAAAATTCTAAGTTCAAAGGGGCATAACTCTAAGAAGAATAAAAATTGAATCATAATTTCCTGTCATTTTGCACATCTATTTACTATGTCCTTAACAGTAACCTACAAAGTTTGATTTTGATATGGTTTCAGAGGGGTGGGATGGCAAGAACAGGACTGATGAATAGACAGACAGACTGACAGACAGATCTACTTTCAATATTATTATTTTCTTTACACTTTCACCTCAGCATCACTTGTGCCTATGTGTTTTTTATTCATTGTATTATATGTAATTCTAAATATTTCATGAATTTTTTGTCTTAAGTATATTCATCTTATATCTTATAGCTGTTATGACAAAATGGATTAGTAAAAACTGACTGTTGTCAATGTAACGAAAATAAGATACAGTCTGTGTTTCAGGCAATATATGTCAAAAATGAAAATTCAAAAGAAAATTTTACTAGCTAAAATGAAAGATACAACAATGAAAAAATTATATAATTTGTCCATCACATTTAATTGTAGTACAGTTTCTTCTTCAATATACATTTAAAATTCATTTATGCCATGTCAAGTTTTTTTTTTGTCTCTTTTGATCAGGAGGAGATAATCCATTCTCCTCCTCCTCCTCCTCATCTTCTTCTTCTTCTTCTTCTTCTTCTTCTTCTTCTTCTTCTTCTTCTTCTTCTTCTTCTTATAAAAAAAAATCTTTATTAAAAATCTATATCTTTGCAATTATAGTTAATAGATATATGGAGATGTGGTATGAGTGCCAGTGGCAATGATACAACTCTCCATCCAAGTCACAATTGGTAAAAGTAAACCATTATAGGTCAAAGTACGGTCTTCATTTTCCCATGTTAATTGTCCATTATTAATACTGCCAACTCTTGCCAATTTCGCATGAGATGCCAGTCTTTTGTCCAGCAATACTAAATTCTTTTAAAAGAATAATCACCCAAATTAAAAACAGTATTTTCTTCCATGAAAAGGGTCCCATGAATAACCTGTTTGTTTGTATTTATTCATTAGACCTTTGTGTACACAGTTGCGGATCCAGAGGGGGGATCCAGGGGTTGGACCCTACCTTTCTTTTTTTAACAATCAATGCTTTAGAATGGGGACATATGGTTGGACCCCATCTCCTTTTATCCTGGGTTGGAACCCCCTTTTAAAAATGGCTGGATCCACCCCTGCTACAACATACTGTGGATTCATTATCATTCGTTGGATACCAATTTTCATGGATTTCGTTGGTACAGGGGAACCACGAAATTAAATGATCAACGAATGACAAATGTTCTATAGGCTTGTATGCAGACTTTGACAAAACCACAAAATTAAATATCCACGATCATGCAAGTTTTTCCTAATCCACGAAAATTGGTACCCACGAAAATAAATGAATCCACAGTATATAAAATGATAAAATACTAATTCATTTGTTATATATCTGTATTGTTTTTTAAATCAAGCATCATTAGTCATGAATTTAAAAATTAATCAAAATAAAGAACTTAAGTTGAATAGTAAACATGATTCTGTGATTTTTTTTAGATTTAATTAACATTTCAAATGTGATCGACTTCAACACACTGTATACGGGTCATGATGGATGGTACATTCATGACAAAAAAAAGTAAAAATTCATGTCAAATGATGTTAACGCTAATTTTTGGTGCATGACAATAAAATGTACACTTTCTTTTAGACGATAAAAAAAAACGGCTAATCAGTTTAAATTTTAAAAAAAAGTCAGGGACACAAATTCGTCGGACAAAATAAATTAATAAATATAAGTTAGATTTTATGAGTCGTGGCATATGAACCAGACAAAAGGTGTTTAGAAATACAAGGAAAACCCAACATATCAACGAAGAAGGCCTCTTTTGCTGTGCATAAGATTAAAACTTGTCACCAGGTCTTCAGCAATCGGCTTTTTAATATTCATTTACAATGACAACACATTCATCATTATAACAGAAACCAACATTCAATGTGTTGTAAGCGTTACATTTTTTCACACATTGACAAGAACATTTTAAACAGTGTATTTCTAAAATGACCGAGAGTCAACTTACATGTGTTTTGTATTGCACCATTAAATAAAAATAACATATATATAGAAAATGACAAATTAAAAGAAGAAATAAAAAAATAAAAGCAGCAAATTAAACTATCTATACATAGATAACACTAATCAATTTACTTCCATGGTCAAACTTAAGAGCGAGGAACACAATTCCCTAAAAAAGAGTGATTTGAAAGATTTTTTGCATTAGATTTCGAGTTCTCAAATTTGTTTTAATAGTTCCACCTCATTGATGTAATGTTATTACAGGATGAAACTCCCATAACAAACCGTGCATACATTCATTACATGTACATATGTCACCAATTAACACAAGTTGTATTGTTTCAGATTCAATTTAATAAAACCATGGAAGTATTATATTAATACTTCCATGATAAAACAAACAGTGGCATCCTGTTGAGCATATATAAGGCATCGTAACTGGAGATAGGAAAGACAATCAAGCGACAGGGTGCCTGCTGATATATAATAACATTCATTTGACAATATATCAATTTCGAGCTTTTTTAATATACCACCTTTTCATTTTCTTTAAATATTATCGAAATACAAATGATGGAACATAATATGTCGTTATTACGACATAGCGATGTCGTTATTACGACAAACTATGTCGTAATTACGACATAATTTTTTTTTGAATGACCCTTATCGGCTTCCGTAGAAAAATGTTGTACGGGTGAAAAAAAAAAAATTGAACAGCGAATCGTTTATTATTATTTAAATGTAAATGTATGCTTTATCATTTATCATTAAATACGTTTCGCCAAATATTTTGTATTCAATATTTATCGTTTCTATTTGAACAATAAAAAATAGCCGCAGTGAACACTTTGAATTTGAACTTATTATGTATTATTTCATTTATTTAAGAACAACTGGAATTTATTTTACATGTATAACAGTATGATCTCGCTAATGTACGTTGTTTTCGTATATTACATTTGTGTTGGTTATTTTTTTTCAAAGACAACTTTTCAAAACGCCGGAGACCTAAGAATTTCTTAATTTAAACTTTTGAATTTTCTGACATTAAAATATAGCTTTTTGACAGGAGTATTCAACAGTATGTGTTTATAGTATTTCCTTTGCACAGTAAGTGTGCTTCAATTTTTTTAGTTACTGCTGTCTAGTTTCTTTTGAGGTAATTCATCGTTATTTACTGATGTGAGTAAGGGAATTTAGATAATGAAATTTAAAAAAATCGGAGACCTAACAATGAGATAAGATAAACTGATTTTTTTTAAACCACCAGAAAAGTAAATCTATGTAGAATTCGGTCGTATGTGTTAATAAGTATTCAGATGATTAATAAAAATAATATAAAGAATTAATGAAGGGTACCCATTTATTTTCCCATTACTTTCTATGTTAATCGAACATCATTAAAACATTTCACCCCGGGTGTCGCTGATAAGAGTAGTCGGCCATTAGCGTCCTTCATTCTTGGGTATGCATGTATGGGAGCTATTTTTTGTTATTGTTTTCCTTGGGGGAAGGGGGATAAGAAGCTGAAACGTTTATAGCATATCTACTTTGATTCGTGAAAAAAAAGATGCATAATGAAATCGACAAAAATGCAGAGAGCAACTATTATCATTTTCGCTTTTCCCAACCGACGTCAGAGCTTATCATTAAATATTTCATTTTTAGATAACAAAAAAAAAACGAAAACATGAATAAATGGACTATACCAATGAAAATTCTCAAGGGCTGTGAAAATCGTGTTACTTTTAGAAAGATAAAATTGCTTTCACACTTGAGAGTAACGCGCATTATACATGGTCTTTTCTATATTAAGCATCTTGTGGTGGGGTAACTTGGTAGCCCTGTTTAGATATTTCACATTATATAAAGACTTGAATATTTGAAGGAAGGTCACAACTAACACTTAAGGTATAGACCAGGGTCCAAGGGAAGGCGTGAAAAACAGTATACGGCTGACTAATTCAATGACAGAAAAATAACAAAACTGAAAATAAAACATGCATTTGGGTCAGAGCTGGGCTAATTTATTCTGTATTTCATCGTGAAAGTTGGATCTTTACGATACAAAGGTCCCTAATAAGGATCGATGTGCAAACGAAAGTCCGGCAACATGCATATTGTCACATATCAAGGAATTGTTTAACTTGCTCATCTTTTATGTCATTTTTCTTTATTCTTCATTTTGATCCTGTTTAACACAGTTTTTTTATAAAGTGTCTTGGTTTTGGTCACTGATAATAGCCCAGCAGAGTTTAGTGGTGCATGTTATAATTTATTCGCTTTCCAAGTTACTCTGATTTTAAGGCCCAGGCACTTGTCTCTGAAAAAAATAGGCCTATATACCTTAGTGTTATATTAAGGTATATAGGTATTTTTCAGAGACGAGTGTCTATGCCTTTAGGCCATTAATCCTTTTTGGAATGCATGGTGTTCCGCTGGATTGGAGGATTATAATTACATGTGAAAAGTTGTGTATCACTAGTTTCATTCCCCTGCACCATACAGTTCTAAGATAATGGCAAATAGAAATCTTCAATCTATTTTTCGGCAGTGTTTTAGTGAATACAGTTCAGTTGAAAATAATCTGTTTATTAACAATAGACTCTTTCATAACGTAAAAATAACAGAAACAAATGCACAAGACAAAAAATCATTTTCAAATGCAAGCGTTGAGTACATTGTCGGAGAAGGCTTACCTTGTTATTGGCTTTGGACAAAGGCCTTTGAAGAAATTACGGAAAGCTACTGTGGAGAGAACAAAGGAACTTTAAGAGAATGCATTATTGCGCTTTTTGAATTTCTACAAGATGGTAAGTCAAGTTCTGCGAAAAGAGGGCTCTTATTTTATTGTCCTGAATCCATGACAAATCGCCCCACTGGCAAATCGCCCCACACCTAATCGCCCCACTTTTTCACCAACTCGCCCCACTTTCTAAAAAATCTCCCCACTCTTTGTTTACCAACTCGCCCCACTTATGAAAAAGAGTAAAATCCCATTGAAAATAGGTTGGATAACTTGCCCTACTTATAAAAAGGGTTAAAATCCCGCTGAAGTAAGGTCTGCCAACTCACCCCACTCATGACAAATAGATAAACCACAATGAATTTAGTAATGCCAACTCGCCCCACTTATGAAAAAAGATGCAACCCCGTTGTATATCTATGTTCCTGCCCCATTTATGAAAAAAGATGCAACCCCTTTGTATATCTATGTTCCTGTCCCATTTATAAATAAAATCAATACCTATGAAAACCTTAGATAAATTTTCATTTTTTGTTTGTTTTCAAACCATAAACAAAACTTACCAATCAAATTTTTAACAACAAAAAAACCTACTTTGACTACTTTTACTGACAAAAACACGACACATGCCTGTTGTAAATGAATGAATGGACATTCTCTTTGATATTTACTTGAAAGTAATATTTGCCTTTCAATTAACTGTATCTGTATCTGTATGTTCTATCTTCTGCCAATCTAGGCACACCTCCACAATTGGAGTAACAGGTTTCTTTTCAATTGTTATGCAAATAACTAAGCTTACAAGAATAAAGTTATTAAAATTACACGATAATAAATAATGTATTTACAATTATATTTTAAGAAAGTGAAACATCATTTAATTTCAATAATAATAATTTAATAAATTTTCGTTTTTTTTTTTGTATTATGTGTAGATTAGTTTTCATTTAAGTGGGGCGAGTTGGCAGACCTGAAAATTATATATTCATCTAGATTTTACCTTTTTTCATTAAGTGGGGCGAGTTGGCAGGAGTAAAATCAACGGGATTTAACCCTCTTCACAAGTGGGGCGATTTTTTAAGAAGTGGGGCGAGTTGGTAAACCAGTTTGGGGCAATTTTTTTAAAAGTGGGGCGATTTGCCAGTGGGGCGATTTGTCCTGCTTCCATTGTCCTAATAGTACCTAACGCATAAGAAATAGACCTTATTACCTTATCGCTATATATTTGTGGGTGTGAGACAACCTGGCCTGGAGACAACTTGGACATCAACTAGTCAACTCTGACTGTCAATAAGTCAACTTGGACTGTCTATGAAATCAGCCTGGACCGTCTATAAGTCAACTCAGACCGTCTATTATGCAAATCAGACAAAGTATAAAATTAGAGTTTTGACTATATAAATGATTTAAAGGAAAAAATACTGTGTCTGAAGAGAAGTCATTCATCGTTAATAAAGTTTTGACACCCATTTTGAGTATATGCAAGTGACGAAAAAGACAACTCAGACCGTCTATGAAATGGCGTATATATAGACAACTCAAGATCACAACTTGGGACTCGGGACAAAATGTAGAATCACAATGATGAAGTAGAAATTATAACCTACATTTATGGATACTTTTATGTAAAATATAACATTTTATCATTTAAATAGCACAAATTCTATATGTTCAGTGATGTTTATACTTTGTTAGAGTTGACATTATAGACGGTCTGAGTTTCTTTAAAAATAATAATTAAAGAATTCAACAAATAAATAGAGCAAATTCAACTTACTCTTTTTTTTTGTTGCTTAAATTAAGTTTTATAATAAATTGATAAAGATAAACTTGTAGGAATTTGAATTCACATTTCACTTAATTGTTAAACAATTTTTTTTTATTATGTTTTGCAAATTCAGCAACATGCAAAATAATATTGTCATGTAAAATATAACATTTAATGATTTATATCATTTATATAGTTCAAATCCTCTTTTAATACTTTTTCTGAGTTGTCATTAGGCCAAATAAAAGTATATGTGTGGTTCCAGTTACCCAACCGACCCTAGTTTAAACCACGGACCCTAGAACTTTTTTTTCCATTTCTGAAAAATAATTTTCCGAACAATCCCATTTTGTGGAATGTGAATTTAGACAATTAAATTCACAGACTTCTGTCATCTGAATTTCCATTAGAAGTATTCGCTACGGCTAAAATGGAACCACACATATACTTTTATTTGGCCTTATAGAAGGTCCGAGTTGACTTTATCATGTTTATAGACGTTCTGAGTTGACTTTTTAGTCTGTCCAAATTAACTCAGTCCCAGTTGCTTCTGGGCTGAGTTGTCTTGCATTCATATTTGTCTGCCACTACCGGACCGTTCCAGTAAAAGTTTGACTCCACAAGAGAAAATAGTCGTTGAATAAACAGTCAAAGATATAACTCTATAGGGTTATTACAGAAAATAACTTGTGTGTGTTATTACAGATACTTTCATGAGTTGTCTACTCTTTATTCCTTAAATTTTCTAAATCTGTAATAACATATGTTTGTTATTTGTAAAATTATTTCATTTATAGTGGGCTCTAGGGAACTCTTGAGACTTTGCGCAGAAACTAAATGCATAGCCTTGATAACTAATTTTTTAATTAAATTAATTCATTTTTGATTAACCATGGTAAATCAATGAGACAAGGCTATTAAGGGATAAACTTAGCTGTGATAACAAGGCTTAGTTATTAAAGGCATGTAACTTATTATATAAGACACTTGGGAATTACTGAGAAACTTGCACAGAACCTCATTACATGCTCTGGTCATTATTTATTACAATAAATTAAAATACATTGTAATTAAGCATAATGTATGTCTGAGCAAATGCTTTGAAGTGATATAGAGAAGCTGTGATAACACCCTTTAGTTATTACAGGCATATTTTTTCTGTAATAACATATAGGTGTACTATGCAAAATTGGCAAACTATGAACTGTTATATCTTTCAATAGTTAAGTATACATATAGACAAAAGTAATATCAATAGAACTTTTATACATTTTAACTAAACTAATGATGTATATTGTCCCTTTGAAACATGTAACATACATATATGTTATCACAGTTCTTTGATTTTTTAGTCCACAATAACAAATGTATGTTATTTTTCTGTAATAACCCTATAGAGTTATATCCCTGACTGATAAAGGTTCAGGTGTCATAAATTCTAGGTAACTCTTAGTTTCATGCTCAAAATAACATGAAATAAAGCAAAACCTCAAAATAAAGTTGTAATATATCAAAATACCCAATGTTTATTGTAAAAAAACAGATGAAATTGATAAAAGAATAATAATTTTTTACTCAATAACTTCAGAACAATGATTTTTGTTTCTTGTACTCAAGATCTTTTTATACCAAACTGGCAGACATCAAGACTAAGATAGAGTTATCTACCTTTTGCATAATTATGTCTGCCATATTGTTATACATGGAACTTTCAAACAAGAAACACAAATCGTTGTTCTTAAGTTAAAATGCGATTGAATTGAGTAAAAATGATGTATATATTCCTAAATATTTAGAATATGGTCGGTTTTCGACAATATACATGTACTTGAACATTTTTCAGGTCATTCAACTTTATTTCAGAGTTTTTTCTATCTTTTGGGTTATTTTGGACATTCAAGGTACCGTAAAATTCTTGGGTCAAGTGTCAAAGACTCCCAAATAGCAATAAGATTCTGATAAATCTGTACTATGCTTGTTAATGTACTGTCAATATAAAAATGTGATATGGTAGGATTGCCAATGAGACAACTCCATCAAAGACCAAATGATGAAGAAGGAAGCAACTACAGGTCACCGAATGACCTTCAACAATGAACAAAATCTATACCATATAGTAAAATGAGTAAGCTATAAAAGGCACTGAAATGGCAAATTAAAACAATTCAAACAAGAAAACTAACGGCTGGATTTTCACAATGAATGTACCATGTGTACGAGGCAATAAACGAGAAAAAAAAAAGGATATACAGCAACAAACGACAACCACTGAATTACAGGCTCCTGACTTGGGACAGGCACAAACAGAATGTTGCAGGGTTAAACATGTTTGTGGGCACCCATGTGCACCCTATCCTGGAACAGTGATGTAACAGCACAACATAAGAACAAACTAGAAATCAGTTGAAAAGGGCTTAACTCATCAGATCGATACAAAGTACAGAAACAACTACATGTGTACACGTAACAAAGACACAAAGTACAGATCTTCATGAGTTCTCACAGTTACTGGAAGCTAAATTCAAAGCCAATAACAACTAATAAAAAAATATTGTATCTAAGACTAGAATATCAATCAGTACACATCCAACTTCCAAAGGATTTAGTGTAAAGACGTCAGGGACAGAGAAAAACATGTCCATGTGCAATGCAGTTAGAGAAAAACATGACTTTGTGCAATACCAAAATATAGGTATCAACAGATTGTAGCCCTTTATGGTGTTTTACCAAATGAGTATTAGATACAATACAAAGGTAACAAAGAAACAGGCCGGTAACAAACGTTGCCGGATAGTTTTTCTGCTTGAGTAGTCATGTGAAGGTCCGAGGCAATAGCCGAGGACCTTGACCTGACTACAAGTGCAGAAGAACTATACGGCAGTTTGTTTCCAGCTTGTTTTTTTATTACCTTTGTTATGTATCTGACTTGTAGGACGTTTCAAGAAAGAAGTAGTACATTTTGCATTTAGAAGAGGTAGCAAAATTAAACAGATTAGAAACTTAAATGGCCATATACCATGTATACAGTTAATGTAAGTTACAGTTTAAACAATTTTTTTTTCTCAAGAAATCAAGAATCTAATAATTTTATAAAAAAAAACAACCATGTCAAGTAAAAGATGAATGTTGTACACATTTGAGACTTTTTAAAATGCAATTTCGCAAGTAAGTAATGTATGACAAACATTTCAGAGGTAAGCAAGCTAACATTTGATTTTTATTTGGGGAAAACGGAAAAGGGGGTGGGGGTTAAAATAAATTTAAAATAAACAGTCTTGATCCTTTCTTTGTTGAAAAATGCAGGATGTGCCATTCCATTCCCCCTTAAAAAATAATAAAAATCATACGTTTGCTCCCAAATATATGAATTCATTATATATGAATTCAATAACAATATAAATGTATAAAAAGAATGAATTTCCTTTTTCATTAGTGAATGAAATGTTATTAAAAAATGTATTTTGTCTCGTTATTAGATATATATTATATTATAGGCATATATTTTGGATTTTTTTTAAAATTTTCATGCTTATAGGTTTTTATATGTCTTTAATATTATAGTGTTGATTAGAATTAGACACGTGTCACAATATGATCCAATCGCAGCTTACAGTCTCGCAATTGGTAAAATAAGTTGAATGATTTTCTTCAAGTTTCGCTACCTATTTGAACATGTATTACACGGACACTTTTTATTTATAGGATCAATCGTGCAATGGTGAGTTGATAGGGATTTTATATTTTGATTTCCGCACCCGTTCTCCAAAACCGCTTGTCAGATTAACTTAGGGTTTCACAATATGTTAGACTAACATGTCTAGTGGTGCAATCAGGGTTTTGTTTGTGCAATGGGGTTTATAAAGGGGTACTTTGAGGGGCAAACAGAAAAGAGGGTTTTACTATAGAACCCTATGGGATTTTATTTTTTTAAATTTTCAAATGATTATAAATTGAAAACCGTTTGTGATAGACACAATCTTTTTAATTGAAAATGTTCTAAATGATAAAGGCCATTAAATGAAATACAGGGTTAGTCCCCAGGGGTCACCCCACCCCCTGCCATTTAAGAAAGTTCTTATATATTGTAAGTGGTCAAGATCCCCACCCCTAAACCATATATATTCTGGTTTGTCATGCTAAGATGGTTTGAATGATATACAGGGTTAGTCCCCAGGGGTCATCCCGACCCCCTGCCATTTGAGAAAGTTCTAATATCTTGTAAATGGTCGAGATCCCCACCCCTAAACCATATATATTCTGGTTTGTCATGATAAAGCACATCAAATGAAATACAGGGTTATTCCCAGGGGTCACCCCCACCCCCTGCCATTTAAGAAAGTTCTAATATCTTCTAAGTGGTCAAGATCCCCACCCCTAAACCATATATATTCTGGTTTGTCATGCTAAGATGGTTTCAATGATATACAGGGTTAGTCCCCAGGGGTCATCCCGACCCCCTGCCATTTGAGAAAGTTCTAATATCTTGTAAATGGTCGAGATCCCCACCCCTAAACCATATATATTCTGGTTTGTCATGATAAAGCACATCAAATGTAATACAGGGTTAGTCCCCTGGGGTCACCTCCACCCCCAATGTTCTAATATCTTGTAAATGGTTGAGATCCCCACCCCTAAACCACATATATTCCTGTTTGTCATGTAATGAACATTTGAATGACGTATAGGGCCAGTCCCCAGGGTTTCCTCCCCACCCCCAATTTTTCTAGTATCTTGTAAATGGTCGAGATTCCCACTCCTAAACCATATATATTCTGGTTTGTCATGCCAAGATGCAAGGTTAGTCCCCAGGCATCACTAATGCATATAACTTTACTGGACCAAACCAATTTTCACTGGACGTTGCCCAATGTCAGGCGACCCTGGGAATTACGAATTATGGGAGCTTCGTTTGGGAGACTTCGTAACAGCATCCTGTTACAATCATTTCTTGTTTTTATATATATTTCTTGTCTTTTTTATTGAAATATAAACGTCGGTACCAGCATTTTTTTACTTTCGGCATTGTCCAAAATACTATTCATGTCCATATATTGAAAAAAATACATTTACGGACGGACCATTTAGCTTCAAAAGGGGGTATTTTTTTTTTCTGAGTAAGAAAATTATTTAGGTTTTCAACGCTATCACCCAAATATTTTTTTTCGAAATTAGCACTATTATATACGGTATTCGGAAAATCAGGAATCAGAACATTATTTTGTCATCTGCTTGACCACAATATATTTTTTCTCATAAAATTGGGGATCAGAATATTTTTTTAGGAAAAAACCATAACACCCCTTTTGAAGTTAAATGGTCAATCCCTGAGTGTACTGATATGAATAGTAATATACTGGAATTTTTTTGAAAAAATATTATAGTTATTGATGCCTACATAAATATTTTAATAAAAAAGACAGGAAATATGTTGGTGAAACAAAAAGTTCAAATCTAATTGAAATTTAAAGTGCCCATGAACTCACTGATCATGCATGAGTGATTCTATTCATAAAAAGTGTCCGTGTAACAACTAAAAAGTGTCCGTGTATCATCTAAAAAGTGTCCGTGTAACACCCATTAATGTACTGTTTTTCTATAGCTCTGCTGGGGGCAAAGTCGTACAACCCTGAAAAACTGGAAAGAAAATTGGTGCCATGTTATGGAAGGATTTTAAGCACCATAGTAGTATAGACCCAAATCGACCTTCTGCCATTTATAGTCCCTTCATGCATGTCATGATTGGGAGCAATGTAATTTTTAGTATTGTTTGCATCAATAGGTCATTATCAAATTAGATTAAATGAAAAGGTATCTGTGGTAGAGATTTTAATGTTTATCCTCCATGAAAAAAAAGGTGGGTACAATATGTTTTTTACATTTTAATTATTCATTGTAGCCATATAATAGGATATTACATGTATGTGAAAGTTACAGCTTTCAGTCAGATTTTCAACAACCTTAGTGATGTTAAACAAATAATTGTACCAACTACTGTACATGCTGTAGTGTTAATTTATATTTATTTGTGAAATAAGTGATTAAATTTTATTCAAATGGACTTATTTTTCTTGACTGAATACTACCCTTTGACTAATTGACAGTTGCTACAAATGAACAGTTTTTTTGGCTCACGTTCAACCTAAGTTTATACATGTATAATATCATATCTAAATCTTTGGAAGTAATTTATACTGTGATGTCCCAACATTTATTGGCTGTTTAAAAACACATTTAACACATTACATTGAAGCTAAAAGTTTTTTTCAGTGAAATCATTTAGAGAAATCCACTGCCAAAGACCATCTGAGAATAGAGATTTCAAGCCCATATTTTTTTCATGAGGCACCAAATGAATTTTCACATGATGTATCTTGCACAGCCAAGAAACTGCTTACTAAGTTCACCAAATATAAAACTTTTCTTTTTGTGAGCACACACTTTTCCAATCTAAAGTACAAAAACACATTTTACCTTAGAATTGTTAGGACAAATATTAGATCATTTAAATTTGTGGTAATATTTGGGCCAAAAAGGGTCTTTATTGCCCTACTCTTTTGGGAAATCAAACATTTGAAAATGACCTTTTGAAGTGGCTTTTAGTGACCCATTCACTGCCATGTTCTTTTTAATTAGATCTTTCATAATAGATTTGTGTATACCATGTACACAGCCAGGTTGTAAGCATATACAGAGGCGGATACGGGTGGGTGAGCCCGGCCCCCCTTTATTGAGCTACATATATGATAAATGTATATACTTTTTACAAGCATCAGTCCAAATGTTGGCTAACTAGGGTCCCCCCCCCCCCCCCCTTTTTTTCAAAATCCTGGATCAGCACCTGATATATATACATGTAGGCTGCAACCCTGCAGGTACACATAATATGTGAAATGTGATAAAAATCTAAGTTCTTTTTTTCTCCAGAAAACAACAGCAGTCAATTGTTAAAAGTTAAAAAGGCAACCACTGTGGCAGAAATACAGGCAATTCTTAGCCATCATTTGTTTGCACCATTAGTTTCTTCAGGAAGTTATATTAATGATGAGCAGTTTCCAGACCATTTAAAAAAATGTCCAGCATGTGGTGAAAACCTTGAACTTGGAGATACATCTTTTGGTAAGAATTACATTAGAATATATAAACATATTAGTAAAATTTATATGTATATTATTAGTTACATAGTGTGATAGTGACCTAATACGATATATATATATGGGGTCAGTAAATTCCATATGGGGTGAGAGCGAAGCTCTAAGCTCGATCCCCATAATGCCATATGGAATTTATTGAACCCATATATATCATATTAGGTCACTAGCACACTGTGAAACAAATTTATCTTACCAACTATCTTAACATTTAGACTTGTGGCCTATCAAAGTGATCAAGTCTTCAATATAAAGAACCTACTTCCATTGGTCTATACAAAAACAAATTAGGTGTTAATGTGTTTTCTGCATTTATTTCAATCGTTCCTCATCAATTTCTTCGTTTGTTGAAATGTTTCAGATTTTTCCTCAATGTTGTGTTGTTTTTATAAAGGGACATAACACCACTACTAACTGTGTATTAGAAAAAGCCATACCTACTAACCCCATATGAAATATATACAGTCTCCACGCGGTAGCCCTTAACCAATGATATTCCTAGAAATGTATAGGAGGTAAGATAATGTTCAATATGGGCAATTTTATCGCAGAAGGGGTGATGTTGCGTTTGCTAAATATATATATTTATATACAAGTCTAAATTGAAAACAACGTTCAAACCTATGATTGCGTTGGATAAAAACAGCAATTTTTATACTTGTGCATGCAAAACAAATTTCTTGGTAGAGGGGTCTAAATACAGCACAAACAACATTTTCCAAAAGACCAACAAAGTGAAAAAGTATATTTTAACGAAACGCATTTGACTAGCAGGTCGAACAACGGATGTTTTTAAACCCTGCTGACTGCCTTAAACCCTGCTGACTGCCATTGGCGATTGCCAAATAAACGGATCACCAGATGTAACAAAATGGATCTTAATTATTAATTTAATACCAAACAGAAAAAAATAAACTTGCGGAAAAGATGGTATACTGCAAACAAAAGGTGCAAAAATTAGTACACCATATCAGGATTTCGACAATTAATGTCTCTTCAGTAATGTTTCGGAATCGAAACAGTATTTGGAAGGCCATATAATTTACCTCAATTTATGATAGACTCTTGAATTTTGAAGAGTCGAAATAGGATGAACGGATCAAATAAACCCGAAGGCAAATATAATACAAGCCCAAACGAATAAATATAAACAAGTTTAAATTGAAGACAACATTCAAACCTATGATTGCGTTGGATAAAAATCGCAATTTTTGTACGTGTGCATGCAAAACAAATTTCTTGGTAGAGGAGTCTAAATACAGCACATACAACATTTTCCAAAAGACCAAAAAAGTGAAAAAGTATATTTTAACTAGCAGGTCGAAAACGGATGTTCTTAAACCCTGATGACTGCCATTGGCGATGGCCAAATAAACGGATCACCAGATGTAACAAAATGGATCTTGATTATTAATTTAATACCAAACAGAAAACAATAAACTCACGGAAAAGATGGTATACCGCAAACAAAAGATGCAAAAATTAGTACACCATATTGGGATTCCTACAATTAATGTCTCTTCAGTGATGTTAGGAATCGAAACAGTATTTGGAAGGCCATATAATATATATATATATGTATGTCAGTCCTTCTGTACTTTAATCCATTCCTTTGTCAAACTGTTCCTCAGTTAACCATCCAAAACCCTTTGTTGCATATTACAGAGCTTCGAATTCTGTAATCATGGATTGATTTAATATTTAGTTTTAAATTTTTTATTGATATAGTGTATCACATAAACTATTTTCATATCTCCCAGGTAGTCTCCTCTTGTTTGACCATAATTTGAAGTTTTTTTAAAACCTACTTAGCATGGATATTTTCATTTTCTACATATAGTTTTCAGCTTTAACATGTTTAAGGAATTGTTCATTTGGTCTGTAATTTTATTATGATGATTCCTATGAAAGATTTTATTTTTTTAGATCTGTGGGGCAGTTGCTGCCTGTTTGACAATACTTCGAATTTTGTATATCCTCCGAACATGTAATTTGTTGTCTAATAAGGAGTGGGGGTATACTTTGCATGCCATCACCTACACCATACAATTTGTTTCATGTACATGTATAAATGTAGGCATAAATAGAACACTTTTTTCTCAATGTTTCTATAAAAAACGTGTATTGAATGACGATAATTATGATCATTATTAGATACTAATATGACAACCTATATATTATCAGCCAGTATAATGTGAGTTTTTTATTTATAATTGAATAATATAATATTATTAATATTATTATATGTGATATGGGGAAAAGGGGGGAGGTAAAACAGAACAGCCAAAACAGTATCATGTGTATAGAGCTTTCACAGTTGACAAAATTACCATATTTGTCCTATTAGAATTAAAATAATTCATGGAAGCCATATATTTGTTTTCATTTAACCATGGGTTGGGCATTTATATTCGATTATCTTATCCTGAGTGTTAGTATGATGACTCATATTTTGTGGTTTTTGGATGATAAATTGATTGATTGGTGTTTAATGCCACTTTCAACACTTTTGTGCTATTTCGTGACTGTCACTTTTTATTGGTTGAGGAAGCCTGAGTGCCCATAGATGATAAATGGAGAACAACTTTTTTTAAATTGATTAAAATTTTAAAAGAATATGTTGGACCACTACACAGGGAAAATTCACTCACCTGAATAGAGATTCACGTGAATTTCACCTCAAACGAGCTTATACATAAAACTCACATGAACTGATAAACTCATGTGGATCTCATATGAAACTCATGTGAAAATCACATGAATTTTTTTCACATGAATTTTCAAAATAAAGTTATTCAAATAACATCTAAATTTTCCAATTTAATTAAAATCATGAAATATCATTTTTTTGGTGTGTAAAGTTTACGTGAAGTTCGTGTGAATAATTTCACTTTAGATCCACATTAAGCTTGTTTGAGGTAAATTTTCAACAAAAATTTACGTGTGAGCAAAATTGAATATTTGAGGGTATACAGAAATTTTGAAACATTATACTGCCTTTGGATGATGGCAAAAATATTATGACATCAGTATGCTGCTAAAGCAACAAAATCATGATATCTCAGTTGATACTGTTTGTGAGTTAATTGGTCCCAGTTTAAGCATCAATAACCTCTAGAATAAATGTGCTTAATACTACATGTACAAAAATGTATATTAAAGTTTCTTTTATTCTATTCATAAAGGCAATTATAAGGTATGGCATGGTCATCCAGATATTGCAATTGACAGATGTCTTGTCAAAATAGGAACTGAAAATGATGAATGTGTAGAGGATACAGACATATTTGAATATGAGTTAACAGATCCAGTTTCTAAAAAGATCAAAATAGAGGACGATGCAAGAGAAACAGGAGGTTGTGATGAAGGGTCAGAGTTGAAAGGTTACAATGAAAGCCTTATGAGCAAAAATAATGAAGTAGAAAATACTTTGGATCAAGTATTTGCTCAGACTATAACAAATGCATTCTATCAAGCAAAGGACAATCCAGAGCTTCAAAATCTATTTATTCCATCATTCCTTGCCACAGATGAAAAAGTACAGATTCTTATGTATAATGCTGACAATGACAGAATGTTGAAGTCTCAGGATATGGAACTTTTCAGTGATATAAGTGACAATGGTTTGAATAATGGAACTGTCATCTGTATATGGTTTGCCTTAAATTTTATGGACTTTCAGCAAAAAGAGTTAGAAAATGAATTTGAAGCTATCAGATTTGAAAAATCAGGTTTTCAAGAAAAGCTGCGAGATGAAATTCTTTCTATATATCAAAGTGAGTTGGTGAGACCCTTGCCAATGAATGACAGTGAGAAAGAATGCCGAAATGTTAAAGGAACTGCTTATCATCTTTGGAATTCTGATCATACCAGAAGAATGAAGGAAAGGTTGGACACATTAGATGAAAAGTATTGGACGAAGTCTCATCATTAATGATACAGAAGCATATTAATAGATATGAATATGTTCATCAAGGTATTCAAACCACACATATTATGGTCATTAGTCAACCATGATTACTTGACATCACAGACATTCATGTAAAAACTTATGTCACAATAGAAAATGTCTGACACCACAGTGTTAAAGGGATTGTTGTATGATGCCAATAGGTGAAATATTGCAGATATCCAAATGGTAAAAGATCAGTTTTGGTCGTTTTCTCCGTAGCTGGATGTGGCCTTAATATAATATTAGTCAGAGCTCAGACATAGATAAGTCTAATTTTGCTTTTGACTTGTAGAGGTCTAAATTTGCATGGTTCATGGGTTTTCTCCCTTTATTTCAAAACAAAAAAGACTCCCAACAAGTCAACTAATGTTAAGCCAGGGGTTAAAAAAATTTGTAATAGCTCACTAGCCCAGGACTTATTGATAGCAGGATTTTACTAGTCCTGTTGATAGAACTGCTAGCCCAGCAAAACAGACCTGCTAGCCCGGGCTTCCAACAAATATTTGAGTCAGCTGGACATTTTCTTCTGATTCAGATTTCAATCTCGTAAGACTTAGTAACAAATTCAATTATTGTTAAAATGTTGGCATATCAAAATGCCTGAATGATTGACATAAAAACGATATTAAACTTCAGAAGACTTTTGATATAATTTTGAAGTTCTGACGTAAACTGTTTAATTAACTGTGCATCATACGAAATGTTTCAAAATTAGTGTACTAAAATCTGCCTTAGACTCTTTATTATTGCAATATCACGCTGTCAGAACTGTACTTTCCTTTTAAGAGCACATTTCCTAATACTGGATGTTGACTTGACAATGGTAAAACACGTACCAAAGATGGACAAGAAAAATCTGTGTACGCTTTTAAAGCACAATTCAGTTTAGGTAGTTCTTTCCACGTTATTTCTTCTTGAACTTAACGTTAGATAACGGTATCAATGATTTTGTTGGCATTTTTGAAGAATTCAGATGCAAAATTAAATCTCACACCTGCGCACTTAACTTTTTTTAAAACTTTTTTTTAATTTATCATTAGAATTTTATTTTGATATGTATTTCTGAAAGGCTAAATAATTTTTACTAAGTAACAGGTCATATCAATCAATGCATCATACCCCTCAGTATCACTAATTGAAAGTCTCGGCTTGAGCAATGTACAATACCCCAAGTATTGAGAAATCAAAAATGAAAGTACAGGAATTGCAATCAATACATGATACCGGTCCACCCAGTTATTCCTTCTATTTTTAAATCATGTAAAAAATCAGTTCAAATTCCTGGAATCCTGAATGAAGTAATTATATCCGATTGGCTAAGATAAAAATAATGAGGAAGGGATTTTCTGTATCTATTTTGGTAATGTCAATAACCTTTTTTTACTAGTCCGTCAGGCATATTGATGACTAGTTTTGATTGCCCAAGGCGTAAATGTTTTAGTCCCGGGCGTCAGGCTAGTGGATTTTTTAACCCCGGTTAAGCAAAAAATATTTGACCTTTATCAAAATGTTGAATTAATGACTTCTTCAAGTCGAAAAGTTACCAATATTGGTTAACTTCAAGACCCATGCACAAATATAAAAAGGTCAAGCATCTACATGAAATTGAGACAACATTGTTAGGCAATGCTTTGTCTTCTGAAGAAAAATATGAGTTTGATTCTAAAAAAACGGAGACAATGTCCATTCACTTTCTTATGCAATCATTTATAACCACTAAAATCTGAAAAAAAACTGAGATGTAACAAAAAACTGTTCAATCAGATCATTACTTGTAGATAGCTCAGGTCCTTGTAAATTATCAGAATGTTTTTTATTGTCATAGGGTACTTTGACCACAAAGTCAAATAATGTGTTTCATCCTGTTTTATGAATCATAAATAGACTAAAACAAGTCTGTCATTTTCTGAGTGAGACAAGTCCAAAATTGTAAACACATTTTTTATTAAAATACATGATTTGACTCTTATAAGTCAGAAACAAAAACAGACTTGTTTATGTCTGAGCTGTGACGTAATATAAAATATTTTATATTTAAATGTTGGAAATTTACATTGATAAATTCTGTGTATACTATATATAATGAGATTATAATGCTGTCAAGTTTTTAAATAATATTTTATAAGTTTGCTGAAGCTGTAGCCATGATGTTACTATTATACTTAGGGTTTTTCCATTTAAATGAAAATAGCAGGGTTTATAATGGACTTGGGTCCTAGGTTATTAGGTTTTATATGTTCATAAACATGATATATAATATGTACAAAATTTCTAAAAGAAAGTAGGTTAGTTGTTAGGGGAACTTTGTAATTACAAAATGTAATGTCCTACCCTCCCACAACTTAATGGAATAGCCCTTGCAAATGCACACCCTGGTTTTTCAGTGGTCACATGGTCTATTTCTGAACTGATGATTGAAATGTTTTCTGTCCTTTTAATGGTACTGTGCAGCTAAGACTTTTGGATTCACTTTGGTAATCTCATAAAACCAATAATCGGATAATATTTTGTGAACAAATTCATGACATACTTTAATTTCATGAACTCTTCTTTATGTATGGTTTCACCATTAAGATTTTATGTAATGTGAGTCCAAAATTAGTGTTTTGACAGTTCTTCAAATGTCTGGAGATTTTGCGCGTTCCTTCCAAAAATAGCTAATTTTGTTTACAGGAAAGATTTTATACTACAAAATATAGTTCAGTTTGAACCAAACAGACTGACAAGGATGCGGAGCAACATTTATGTCATTTTGATAAGAAATTGACTGAAATTGAAACCAACTTTATTTGATGATGTATGTTTTTTAATGGAAAATGGCTAAATATGGTTAATCATGGGATTGCAATTATAAATTTATGCTTGAACTTATCAATTTCAATCTTTTTTGTCAATTTGGAAGACTAAAACAATTACAAGAACAATTATATTTGTGTTACATTGCGGACAAGACGAAATTTAGGTAATGCGCGATATCACCGGCCGAGCTCACACAGGGGATTCCACTGTACATGCATGTATAAAAAAGTTGCCTAAAATGAATTATAGCCCAAAAGTCTTATCTCATGTTATCCTTAATAAGTTGAAACCTTAACTCAAGTAATATTTTATCAGCTGAGAATATTTAATTGTACTAAAAAACACCAAAAGGAAAAAGGTCTGACAATGTCATGGCAAAAACAGGACAAAATAAAACAAATAGTATGCAAAACATTACACACAGATCGACTAGAACTAACGTTTGATCAACATGAACACAAATCAAAAACAAGGCATGAACACAGGATCTCCAAAAGGATCAATAGTACATGCTCAACTAGTGAAAGAGAGGCATAGGATACCAAAGGGCATTCAGACTCATAAGTCAAAAACAAACTGACAATGCCATGGCAAAAACGATCAAAAGACAAGCAGTATACAAAACACAACATAGAAACCTGCAACACAAACCCCACCAAAAACCGGGGGGTGATCTCGGGTGATCTTGAAGGGTAAGCAGATCCCGCTCCACATGTTGCACCCGTCGTGTTGTTCATGTAAGCACAAACCCGAAATAAATCTAATTCTGTAGGTCACATTCGAGGAAAAGAGGGACATCTGTAGTGTGACTTTCATTAAAATTTGTTGATATGAAGCAACTGGTTATAAGGCATCACACAATAATAGATTGATACATGACTTTTTAGCTCACACAGCCCTTGAGGGTCATGCATGTGACCTATTGCCATCAGGATTATGTTATCATTTCATTTCATATAGTAATATGTTTTTATACGACCGCAAAAAATTCGTCGTTGTCCGAAGACAAATTGGTTTTCGCACAATAACTTTAGTTTAAGTGAATGGATCTCTATGAAATATTACCATAAGGTTCAATACCACAAAAGGAAGGTTGGGATTGATTTTGGGGGTTATGCTACCAACAGTTAAGGAATAAGGGACCAAAAAGGGGCCAAAAATAACCATTTTTCTAGTTTCCAGACAATAACTTGTGGAACGGTGTATGGATCTCTCTGAAATTATACCACAAGTTTCCATACCACAAAGGGATGGATAGGATCTGCTTTGGGGGATTATGGCTCAAACCGTTTAGGAATTAGGGGCTAAAAAGGGGGAAAACAAGGGTGTCCTGGTTAATGGACAAATAGTTTAGTACAAAACATAATTTAAAGCAGTGTAAGGGAGGTAATTCAAATACATCATTTGAATTACCTCCCTTACACTGCTTTTAGATTATGTATAAAGTAATGGTTAATGAACAATTAAGCCAATTTAAAAGCAGCGTATGGGAGGTAATCCAAATACAACGTTTTGATTACCTCCCTTACACTGCTTTTAAATTATGTTTAAAGAAATGCATATTTATAAAGGAAGACCAGTAAAAATATCTGCAAATGTTGCATTTTTTTTTTTTTACCAAAAAATCCATATGAAAGATTTGACACTATATTTTAAATTCTATTATAAAATAGATTAAGTTAGCACTATGGTAAATTTAAATGGTTGCAAACTCCATTGGAAATTTGAATTGAGATTATGACCATATCTTGAGGGAAAGATTTTTTTTGGGGGAAAAAGGGGGGGGGGTCAATTTTTTCTCATTTCAGATTTCAGAAATTAAAAAGAAAAATTATTCAAATATTTTTTTTGCAAAAAAAAGTGTGTGTGTGTGTGTGTGTGTGTGTGGGGGGGGGGGGTTAATACACAACAGCATAGTGTATTGCACAAAAGCAAAAAAAAAGGGGGGTAAATTTTTTATTTTTTTATTTGTGGGGGAAGGGAGGGGGGGGGGCAATTCGCATAAGCAAAGTGTATTGCACAAAAGCAAAAAATTGATATATAATTGAAATCATATAACCAATTCTAAGTTCTTTGACTACATTTATTCTGTGTCAGAAACTTTTAGGTGTCAAATATTTAATTACTATCCAAATTCAGACCTGTATCAAGCGCGAATATTGTGTCCATTTTTGCCCCAACTGTTCAGGGTAGGACCTCTGCGGTCGTATCCAGCTGCGCTCGGCGAAGCAATTTATTGGCTTTTTATCTTGAAAACTATAATAGATTGACACAGTAAAGAGCAAAAGTATGCAGTAAGACAATATTAACAAAAAAAAAATCATATGACAGAAATGGTTATTGGACTTATTATTATAATTATTGCCTAATTTTGTTAGTTTCGGCTATTATTTTGAAAATTATTATAAAAACATATATAGAAAGAATCTTCAACAATCTATAATGAGCAACAAAAAAAAGATCTACACAGATCAACATAACTGATATGTTATTTGACTTTTATATACATTTTTCCAATATTTAGCAAAGGCAAATAAAAAATTCATTAGCAGAAAAATAATATTATGTTCTTATTCAATACTTCAAACGAACATAAATCATTTATAAAGAAAAACTCAACACCGTTATTTGGTTATCAGCTCGCCCCGACAGCACAGAAAGCTTATTTTATTACAAATAAAAATACAAATGTCCAATTTGCTGTCATTGACCGCTGCCATCACATATAAACACAATCTACAATAGAAAAGTATTCTATAAGTTGAAGAACAAAATCTTTACAGTATTACATATCATATATACTATTTACTACTTTATCATGTACAAAGTCTTGAAAGGGTGGGTGGGTGGGAAACGATACTGTACTGTCGGATAGGCGAACCTCGAATGACAATTCTAGACTATAATACTATAATTTAGCGCTTAAATTCTAGCATGAAGTTATCATGATTAATATTACCTAAACCGGTAATAACTTACTGTTTGTCCAATCAAATTAAACATAAACATGTTTTGATTTGAACACACGTGCTTAAAGTAAACAAATACACGTGTCCCCGAGTAACCTTTATAAATACATATGTTAAAAGCAAAAGTGACCAGCAAAACTAGATATACCAAAGTTAAACATGACCAAAATAATAATTAGTTATTACCCCTAAGGCCTTTTTCGGCTGTTATCTTGATAACAGAAGTAAATTTGTGAAACTGTTAACAGAACTAGGTCACAATGAACTCTTAGTTTCTAAGACGAGCCTCTGGCAGGAAACTGACAAACTATCTGTAAATAAATTCCCATTATGCATGACAAAAAGGGAATGTTTAAAACGAATAAGTTTATCCAGACAATCAATAGATAAGACCACTACTTAAAGAAAAAACAAAAATATTTAAAAAAAAGTTCACAAAAGACGACACAAAAAACTCGAGATGAAAGGTCGGAAAACGCTGAAATACACGAGATGAACTTGGATGCGTCACTTATGTCACCTGTCATGTTGTTCATGGAAAGTAATAATCTGGTGAAGAGTCATATTGTCAATATATGCCATATGTGGAGCAGGATCTGCTACCCATTCAGGCCATATGAGATTACCCCCAGTATTTGATGGGTTTGTGATGCTCAGTCTTTAGATTTTTTTATGTTGCGTGTTGTATACTGTAGTTGCTTTTCTTTTGTCGGTTCGTTTTTGATGAGCTTGAATTTCCATTTGGTATCTTTCGCTTCTCTCTAATAACTGATGAAATTAGGTCAGGTTGGGTCTAAGATAAATGGAACCCATTAAAAGATGTCCAACTTCAAAATTAAGAACCCTGGCTAAAACAGTTTGTTTTACCTTAACTCTCAAGTCAAGATGTAAAGCAGAATGTTATTAGCTTCAAAATAAGCTCACCTGATCCTTTAGGGCCGTGTGATATATCCATCATTTAGCATCCCTCGTTGTCTTGAAGTTTTCATTTAAAAACATCGATTTTCTCTGAAGCAACCAGACCAAAGTTGGTAACAATCATACTTTTGATGATTACTTTAAATTTAGTGTTGATAATTCCCGCTCTCAAAATAGTAAAAGTAGTACATTAGGGTAGAATGCCAGTACTTGCTTAAGAATATCTTGAAAAAGAACAAATCTGTTAGTTGTTAAATGTTCAGAATGTCAAGATCTATACAGGGTCAAATGGTTTTGGACCATTTTTGCGGTTTTGGCGAAAACTCTAGTTGAGGTAAACTCAAAACAGCAAAACTTATTAGCATGAAAATTCAACAAATATTTCATATAGGCAAACATTGTCTATCAACTTCTTACAGAAGTTATTACCCTTAAATGTCTTAATGTGACCAATATAGTGAATCTGGAAAACTAAAATGAATAGCCTGAAACATCAAGCAACAAACAATATCAGCAACACAAGATGACAAATAAGTCAAATTATCATCAGTTGACTCATAACGGGAGGTTTTGATGTTAAGTTATAATTTAAAAAAAATAGTCATGGTGCATTGTTTCATTTTTAATTGACAAAAATGTCAAATGTCAGATGAGCGATATATAGGCCATTTATGATGACCGAACAACCATAGTTAGCAAGCAGAGGAGCACAGTTGGATGACATAAGATGTCAACTGATTGTACGTACTAAATCCTTGTCAGTACAACTAATCAAATGATATTCAAGAGGTCAATCATCTTCACCAATACAACCTAAACAGAACTCACAGAACTCGCTTACGTCCAAATTGCCTGAGGGAGTTTCAATCTCAAAGATTTTAATACATTTTTTACACGCCGTCCTACATTTTCACCTTTTTGTTTTTAGACCCTTTTAGCCATGTGAGATATAGCATCACGTGGCATCGATTCATCGCCGTTAACCTTTTACAAATCTGCTTTTAAACGAATGAACATATTTCAACCAAACCCTGGCTGAATAACCTTAGAGTATTAAGTTGAGAGTTAGTGTTTTTATACCCCCACTCTAAAAGTGGGGCTTTATTGAAATCGCCTTGTCCATTCGTCCTACAAATATGACACATATTTTTAAGCAACCACGTTACCATAAAAACTAGGGATGTCAACT